GTCAAAGACTTCTTGGTAAGAATGAGAACTGTCTTGAAAGCTTGCTGCGGCAGCGCCGCCTATTCCTACTATCTATGGCTGACTATCTAGCATAGTCAGTCCTACATGGTTGGCAGCTCCTTTATAAGGATGTCCACTACGAGCGGAGATAATGGGGGCCTTCAGAAAATCACGCAAATCACATTTCGTCGCAATTTGAGAGCGATTTTGCGTTCACCTACACCTAGATTTGCGTTGGGATTGTGAGCTCCAAAATCACAAGCAAAATGCAACCACAGAGTAGGCAAGGTTAGGCGGCGACAAATAGTCTATGGAGAGGATTGCAACTCCAGGGCTTAGCGGAAAACACAGTAGCGATAACGATCAATCCAGTGATATGCATTACAATGTATGAAAACGATGGTAAGTGCATCGAATAGCATTCGCAAAATCACTCGCAATTTGCAGACTCCAAAATCGTCTCCGCAAATTGCGACTGATTTTGCGAGCGCATCGGTGCATTTTGCTACAGGATTTGCGTTTGTCAAATTTGCGATTTGCGTGATTTTCTGAAGTCCCCCAATACGTCCCAATTTGCGTCGTGTTTGCTACAACCGATGATGCCGACCAAAACCTTATAGCAATTGTCGTATCCAGCAGATAAATACTAAGTACGAAGTATACCTCGTAAACATGATAATCACATATGAGAACGTAGATGAAACGATATATAGTAGAATTTCGATATTGTAGCGCGTTGTCTTGCTTGAATTTTGCTGCACGATCACTCTCCATCGTCTGTTGTACAAGGCTGCACATGCCAGCATGTTGCCGTAAATTTGCAGCGGGGTTGCGGTAGCGCACAGGAAAGGTTTCCGACTCAAAGAGTCCAACCAGGGTCTTATCCGAGGACCCGCGAAACAAGTCAAAGACTTCTTGGTAAGAATGAGAACTGTCTTGAAAGCTTGCTGCGGCAGCGCCGCCTATTCCTACTATCTATGGCTGACTATCTAGCATAGTCAGCCCTACATGGTTGGCAGCTCCTTTATAAGGATGTCCACTACGAGCGGAGATAATGGGGACCTTCAGAAAATCACGCAAATCATATTTCGTCGCAATTTGAGAGCGATTTTGCGTTCACCTACACCTAGATTTGCGTTGGGATTGTGAGCTCCAAAATCACAAGCAAAATGCAACCACAGAGTAGGCAAGGTTAGGCGGCGACAAATAGTCTATGGAGAGGATTGCAACTCCAGGGCTTAGTGGAAAACATAGTAGCGATAACGATCAATCCAGTGATATGCATTACAATGTATGAAAACGATGGTAAGTGCATCGAATAGCATTCGCAAAATCACTCGCAATTTGCAGACTCCAAAATCGTCTTCGCAAATTGCGACTGATTTTGCGAGCGCATCGGTGCATTTTGCTACAGGATTTGCGTTTGTCAAATTTGCGATTTGCGTGATTTTCTGAAGTCCCCCAATACGTCCCAATTTGCGTCGTGTTTGCTACAACCGATGATGCCGACCAAAACCTTATAGCAATTGTCGTATCCAGCAGATAAATACTAAGTACGAAGTATACCTCGTAAACATGATAATCACATATGAGAACGTAGATGAAACGATATATAGTAGAATTTCGATATTGTAGCGCGTTGTCTTGCTTGAATTTTGCTGCACGATCACTCTCCATCGTCTGTTGTACAAGGCTGCACATGCCAGCATGTTGCCGTAAATTTGCAGCGGGGTTGCGGTAGCGCACAGGAAAGGTTTCCGACTCAAAGAGTCCAACCAGGGTCTTATCCGAGGACCCGCGAAACAAGTCAAAGACTTCTTGGTAAGAATGAGAACTGTCTTGAAAGCTTGCTGCGGCAGCGCCGCCTATTCCTACTATCTATGGCTGACTATCTAGCATAGTCAGCCCTACATGGTTGGCAGCTCCTTTATAAGGATGTCCACTACGAGCGGAGATAATGGGGGCCTTCAGAAAATCACGCAAATCACATTTCGTCGCAATTTGAGAGCGATTTTGCGTTCACCTACACCTAGATTTGCGTTGGGATTGTGAGCGCCAAAATCACAAGCAAAATGCAACCACAGAGTAGGCAAGGTTAGGCGGCGACAAATAGTCTATGGAGAGGATTGCAACTCCAGGGCTTAGCGGAAAACACAGTAGCGATAACGATCAATCCAGTGATATGCATTACAATGTATGAAAACGATGGTAAGTGCATCGAATAGCATTCGCAAAATCACTCGCAATTTGCAGACTCCAAAATCGTCTTCGCAAATTGCGACTGATTTTGCGAGCGCATCGGCGCATTTTGCTACAGGATTTGCGTTTGTCAAATTTGCGATTTGCGTGATTTTCTGAAGTCCCCCAATACGTCCCAATTTGCGTCGTGTTTGCTACAACCGATGATGCCGACCAAAACCTTATAGCAATTGTCGTATCCAGCAGATAAATACTAAGTACGAAGTATACCTCGTAAACATGATAATCACCTATGAGAACGTAGATGAAACGATATATAGTAGAATTTCGATATTGTAGCGCGTTGTCTTGCTTGAATTTTGCTGCACGATCACTCTCCATCGTCTGTTGTACAAGGCTGCACATGCCAGCATGTTGCCGTAAATTTGCAGCGGGGTTGCGGTAGCGCACAGGAAAGGTTTCCGACTCAAAGAGTCCAACCAGGGTCTTATCCGAGGACCCGCGAAACAAGTCAAAGACTTCTTGGTAAGAATGAGAACTGTCTTGAAAGCTTGCTGCGGCAGCGCCGCCTATTCCTACTATCTATGGCTGACTATCTAGCATAGTCAGTCCTACATGGTTGGCAGCTCCTTTATAAGGATGTCCACTACGAGCGGAGATAATGGGGGCCTTCAGAAAATCACGCAAATCACATTTCGTCGCAATTTGAGAGCGATTTTGCGTTCACCTACACCTAGATTTGCGTTGGGATTGTGAGCGCCAAAATCACAAGCAAAATGCAACCACAGAGTAGGCAAGGTTAGGCGGCGACAAATAGTCTATGGAGAGGATTGCAACTCCAGGGCTTAGCGGAAAACACAGTAGCGATAACGATCAATCCAGTGATATGCATTACAATGTATGAACACGATGGTAAGTGCATCGAATAGCATTCGCAAAATCACTCGCAATTTGCAGACTCCAAAATCGTCTCCGCAAATTGCGACTGATTTTGCGAGCGCATCGGCGCATTTTGCTACAGGATTTGCGTTTGTCAAATTTGCGATTTGCGTGATTTTCTGAAGTCCCCCAATACGTCCCAATTTGCGTCGTGTTTGCTACAACCGATGATGCCGACCAAAACCTTATAGCAATTGTCGTATCCAGCAGATAAATACTAAGTACGAAGTATACCTCGTAAACATGATAATCACCTATGAGAACGTAGATGAAACGATATATAGTAGAATTTCGATATTGTAGCGCGTTGTCTTGCTTGAATTTTGCTGCACGATCACTCTCCATCGTCTGTTGTACAAGGCTGCACATGCCAGCATGTTGCCGTAAATTTGCAGCGGGGTTGCGGTAGCGCACAGGAAAGGTTTCCGACTCAAAGAGTCCAACCAGGGTCTTATCCGAGGACCCGCGAAACAAGTCAAAGACTTCTTGGTAAGAATGAGAACTGTCTTGAAAGCTTGCTGCGGCAGCGCCGCCTATTCCTACTATCTATGGCTGACTATCTAGCATAGTCAGTCCTACATGGTTGGCAGCTCCTTTATAAGGATGTCCACTACGAGCGGAGATAATGGGGGCCTTCAGAAAATCACGCAAATCACATTTCGGCGCAATTTGAGAGCGATTTTGCGTTCACCTACACCTGGATTTGCGTTGGGATTGTGAGCGCCAAAATCACAAGCAAAATGCAACCACAGAGTAGGCAAGGTTAGGCGGCGACAAATAGTCTATGGAGAGGATTGCAACTCCAGGGCTTAGCGGAAAACACAGTAGCGATAACGATCAATCCAGTGATATGCATTACAATGTATGAAAACGATGGTAAGTGCATCGAATAGCATTCGCAAAATCACTCGCAATTTGCAGAGACTCCAAAATCGTCTCCGCAAATTGCGACTGATTTTGCGAGCGCATCGGCGCATTTTGCTACAGAATTCTGCCCGGATAAGAAACGGGTGTATAACTAATAGCCTCACATATTTAATATTATTTTCCAGTTGATGGGGCGATAGGGGGATGTGCAAGGTAGTGCAAGGTACTGAGGTACTAAGGTGAAAAATCCAGTGCCAATCATCAGCTCTCCACCCTCGTTTGAAAAATGGCGCGCATTTAGCGATCTTACTAGACTTCAAACTACATGTACCGTAGTGGTAGACTCGCACTTTTGCTTTTGCACCTCGCCCCACAAGCCCACCTCCTCCCCCACTCCACCCATGAAGTCCACACCGTCCAAGCGTCTCCGCCTCACTTGGTCTGAGAAAGTGGGCATCCTCGACAAGGCAGCCCGCACACCTGCTCTCTCCAACAGGGGCCTGGCTGAGTGGGCTGACACGGAGTTCAGCCTCCCGGCCGCCCCAGGCAAGACAACGATATGCCGCATAATCAAGTCAAGTGCAGTCCTGCTGGGGTGGCCGCTGGAGAAGGACCAAGGAATCATTCATTGTATTAAGCGACACATTCTATTCCGCAAGATGATGCAGGCTCTAGACCGGCTTGGTGAAGGGCTAGATAGTCCCTACGAGGTCGACCAGTTGACAGCGCTGTTGTGGTGCGAGGATGCCTGGTCAAAGGTTAGTGCTTCGACCATACGCCACTGTTGGAATCATTCCGGACTCGTAGGTAAAGCTGCTCTTCTGTTCATTTTGAAATAACTAAATCAGTGCATTGGAAAAGTATACTCAACTTAACATCAATTTATATTGTGCTTTGCACGAACTTTGGCATGCGATTAAGGACTCTAAACCAACGAGCAAATCCTTCCCGGTGATCATATCTCGCAGCCTAACTCTAAGTTAAAGTTAAGCTAATCAACGGCCAGTACCAAACACAACGCAGAGCAAGAACGGAGCGGTTGCCACTGCAAGAATAAATCGGTTGTCGCTGCAAGAAAACAAACCGATAAGATCCCCGATAGAATGGCGCCAACTCCTTGCATAATAGTAAGCACCGATTTCGGCGGGGACGTTTTCTTTCGCTCTCTTCGTCGTGGCCTTGCGCGTTAAACCAAGCTCGAATTTCAGAGCACGGCATATAGTAGCAGTAGAAATTTTCTACTAGAAATGTTTGGTAGTGCAGGAAACGCTGACTTTAAAGCTGCTTGCAGCTCCTCGATATAAAAACAGGGATGTTCTTCAATATTGTAGACGTAGTTTAGTACTACGATAGATCGCCAACGCATGTCAATCATCGACTAGAAAGCAATCAGACAAAGCGAGCGAGTTAGAATTAGAATGTCAGGGCCGTAGTATTGTCGGATTTACTCCAGCCATTCAACGAAAGTGAGCATAACTCAACGTTAACTCGTTGTCTTAGCAGCTATTCTATCTTAAATCGACGAGTTAGCCTCCTAACTCAAT